ATAAAAGCATAACTACTGAATTAGTTTATGCTATTGAAATCTTTCTCTAACAGATTCAAGCTCTTAGTTAATATCATTAATAATGCGCCGATCATCTTGAATAAAGTCAGATCGCGATGCAAAAAAACTAGTTTTTTTATTCTTTATATTATTTATGAAATCTGTGCCAATTTTCATTAAGCTTACCTTTTTTCGCACATCGGAATTTTATCAGGTCGGTTTAGCAGGCCTAACAATATATTTATATATTTATTTTTTGTATTCGACCGGTGATAGTCCAGTGATTAGTAAACTGGGGATTAAGGTCCTTTCAAAGAAAAATTTTAGGTATGCTTATGTGTTTAATAAATCGATGGTTATTTGACAAAACATCGTAAGTGACAAAACCTAAATTTTACAGGAGAGATTTTTTTGTGTGGGAGCTTTATTTTTAATGTTTGTTTATTTGAAAACTGGTGAGGCATTATTTTATTAATGTAGAATTCAAATAGTTAAGTAAGATCGAATCCAATCTAAAATTTTTATTAAATTTTGTAGCATACGATATTTTATTAGGACATCTTTAGGAAAATGTTAAGTTAGTCCTGTCGCTTAAGTTACATTTACGTTACTTTGTGGGATATAGATTTGATGACTACTTTTGTCAAAACATTGTTAGCGACATTTATTTTTTTACTTTTATTATTAAATAAAAAAAAATACAAATAAATTAATTTATAAAATATTACCAACGATATTTTGCCAATGTTTGAAAATGAAATTCTACATTAGCTTTCTTTGAAAAAAACGAACGATTTTTATTCACAAACCAGTATCTAACACAAGGAGCCCGAACTTAATAGGGAAAATTGATAAAACCAGCCCTCTAAGTTGAACAAATTAAGTTTCTTTTTTTCACCAACAGCGGCGCTGATTGTCGATGCTAGCGTTTCGGTACAAATTAAACAATTGTTTCAGAATAAACGGAACACCAGCACCCTCTTATCTTAGGAAGATTCTTTTTACATGATGTTCGGACTCCTTGTGTAGGCTCCATGATCTAACCCATGGTACCATGATCTAACCGTTATAAATTTGAGTTAAATTATTTGACGCTATAACAACATACAATTACTACAAAAAACACTTTTAACGAACCACACTACGTAAAAACAATTATAATTAGGATAACTATTAATAATGCAATGAAAAAAAGGAATTATATATGATCAAATAAAATATTGTTTTAAAACTTACGAATAAACTGTTTAGAGCGGGAATAACGCCTTAATAGATCAAGGCGGGAGCATAATATTATCGTAAGCGACACAATGTCAAATCGCAAACGCCATGTCTCGGAGTTGCTTACGATTATTTGTCAGGAACATATAGGCGCTTATAAATCGGTAACAAATTAAAAAGAAGAGGCGCTTACAATAATAAAAATATTCAAACTGACCAATATTAGATTCCAAAATTGGGATAACTATTATGTTAACATGTGCAGCTTATCGTAACTGACTCTTTGATAAAATAAAAAGTAATTCAACAAAATTGTCGCTTACGATGTTTTGTTAAATAACCATCGATATGTACTAACGATTTTGTGTGTACTTTATGGTCGTATAAAGGGCAGAAATGTATAAAGTATATTTATATGATGCATTAGATATGGGGGAAAGAACAAATATAATACATATAAATTTTTTGATTTATAATTGTTTTAATTAAGTACAGTTGCTGCTTGGCAGGTAGCCCAGTCAATTGATGGGTATGTTTAGCACAAACCTTGCTGACTCAAATACACAATTCATTCAATTTCCACTTATATTCAGGCCAATTCACTAACATAAGTCGTTAACATTTTCCACTAGAATTAGTGGTTATCTGCCAATCAGGGCTGATTATCAGGCCGATTAAATATAATGTAAACAATATCCTAACCTTAACGACTCATGTTAGTGTATTTGCCTACATATATATATATATATATATATATATATATATATATAGAATATTCATAGGGATTCTATATCTGGGTTGCAAAAAATGCCTAAAAATGATAAATAATGTAAAGGCGTGCTCGAATAGGGTTTTAATAGATTTATTTTATTTATGTAGCTAAAAATTTTAGCGCTTGATAGAGTAAAGTTGCCTATTATGGGGTGTATTTCTAATATGGGGTACCTCATATTAACGCCATATTGAAGTACGACAACATATGACGTCAATATGACGTGCGATGCTACTTGGGTTGTTTAGGTTATAATATATTTTAATCTGTTTAGTTGGTTTTTAGGTTTTAAAGTAAATCTGGACAATAAATTCAGTTTTTTATAACTTATTTATTACTATGTTTTTTGTATCAAATTTTTTTTATAATAATAATAACTTATTTATTACTATGTTTTTTGTATCAATAAAATTTGTTGTAAATACCTTTTATTTTTCTTTATTTTGTTTGTACTTTACAGTTGCACCAGATATTTTTTTAGGTACCTTATATTAGGTTATACCAGGAACCTGGTAGCCTTATATGGGGTAGACACAGAATTTTTAAATTATTTTTTTAAACACAAATTTTTATGTTTTAAAGATTTTTACCATAATATTATCTTGCATGCATATTAAAGAACCAACGTTGCTAAATTAAACAATAAACTAAACTAAATAAAGAAAATAATTATAAAAATTAAAATGGTACCCCATAGTAATAATTATAATTATATAATAGGCAACTTTTTTCTAACAGAAAATTGAAATTTTTATTTAAATTTTCAAGATTAAAACTTAACAACAATACAAATTTTAAATTTCAAGTTAATCCTGAGACATCAACAAACTTTTAGTGTGAAAACCCAAGTAAAAAATCCAATTTAACAGGGAAAAAACTTTTTTCTTTGTTCGTGCTCGCTGGGATCCTGTATTTGAATTTTTATGTGTCTGGAAACTGTGATAGAGGGTGGCTTTAATTTAAATTGACCATTTGGAAATATCGTTTTCTTTTTTACTCGCAGCCTCCTTTCATGTCATTTCCTGCTGATGATCTTCAACAAGAAATTAAGTTTTAGTTTAATTGCACTTGAGAAGAACTAAAACACTTTAATTAAAGAATATTCTGTTTTCTAATTAATTTTTAAATACCACTTGTTATTATTATAAGATAAGAATCTAAATTTTAAATTTGCTTCGAAGAACTTTGACGAGCTGCGAATTTAAGGCGTTTTGGCCACGTTTGGAAGTTAACAACAATGTATTTTGGGCATTTTATTAATGGGCTGAATTTAGCTTTATTATAAATTGCGAAAAAGTGAGATTAAATTCGTCAAATGTCAAATATTTATGAATTAAATTGACTTTTAATTCTCATTTCTGTCCGTCGCGACGGTCGTAGATAAAGTATGAAATGCAACTCCTTTTATAAACTTCTCTAGACACTCGTTTTATTAAACACTTGCTCGCAAGCTTCGCTCGTGCCTAATAAAACTCGTAACTAATGACGTTTATAAAACTTGATACCTAATATACTTTTATTTAATTAATAGTTTCTAGGTGCACTCGATATAACCTTTAATTATACAGAATATGTTATTAATATTTTTTTTATCATTGTTTTTTGTAAAGTATTTATTTTCTTTAATTTGACAAATAATATTATTTATAAAATTTATTACAGCATAACAACATTTAATATAATCCTTTAAAAACTTACACAAAGGATTCCTGAAACATTTATAAGTCTTTTACCCTCAACAAAAAGGCAGTTTAAATGTGCTTTTATGGAAAGCTTATTTTAAAATATTTACGCGAATAAATTTACCTGAACAATTTTTAAATATTTATTACTAAAATTTTAGTACTTTTATGTTAATTGAATATTTAAATTTACATGTTTTTAATGATTTGCTAATATGAAATGAGGTGGATATATACAGTGTTGCAACATGGCCATGGCCATATGTTATTATTGGAGCTACAAAGTCGGTTAAAATAGCAAATTGGTGGCAATTTTTTTAAATACTAAATATTGAACTATTTTTATCCAAAATTTCATATATATATATATATATAGTGTTGGCCATAATTTTTGGAACCACTGTAAAAAAACTCTAAAACGCACTATTTATTCTTTATGAAATTTTGGAGTCCTTTTATTTAATAATGAAAAAACGTTCGAAAAATAACTTTTAGGGTAATTTTTTTTATTAAATAAAAATGTGCTATTAAATACCGTATTTTTGTTAGAACACCCTAAAAATTTTGTACAAATTAAACGAACAGTAACGAAGATACAGAGCTTCAAAATCTGTAAAAATGGCCCCTTTTTGATTATTTTGCTGAAAAGTGGTAATTTTTGACGACTTTGAATCGCTGTATCTTCGTTGCTGTTCATTTGATTTGTACAAAATTTAGGGTATACTAACAAAAATACGGTCTTGAGCAGTATATTTTTTATTTATCTTTGTTATGGGGGCCAGGCTCCTCCATCCCTAGGCGTATCTTTTTCGTAAATTTCTATTTAAATTCTGCTTTCGCAGAACTTGTTAATTTAGTGTCATTATGAAATAACATAAAATTGGTGTGGGTCCCATGTCTAATAACTAAGATATCGATATACGCAAAATCCACCAGCCGCCACTGATCGGATAGAAAATCAATCTCAGAAGACAAACAAATAGAAATATTCGGTTCCGGCGTCAATAATCAACAACAATCGACGAAGGCAGTTGCAAGGGATTTTGATATAGCAAATTTAACCCCTATAAATTAAAAATATTACATTAACTGTTAATGTAATATTTTTAATTTATAGAAATGAAATTTGCTGTATCTCAATCCCATGCAACTGCCTCCGTCGATTGTTGTGGATTATTGAGGACGGAACAGACTATTTCTATTGATTGATTTTCTATCCGATCTTTTCTGACTACACACACTTCCAGTTGTTTAAAATTTAGTCACTATCTCCTGTAGATATTTTCTGCAAATAGGGTTGTCTGGGTACCTTTCATTAAATACCCTCACTGCTTGGTGCAAATTACGTCCAACTTCAGCAACCTTGTAGCCTCTGTGACAAAATACATACCATAATTAATGTCATTAATTATGGTATGTATTGCCTGAGTGATACATTACATTTTAATTTTGGGTTTCCTAATAAAACAACATAATTTTAAATAACTATAAAATATAACTTTAAATCAATCAATATTCGAAAAGGCTCTCATAACAACATATTATGATAATCTAGTTTCTGCATTAAAGAAAAAATAAAATAAATGAAACCATAGAACTTCAACAAATAAAAAAACAACTAGATGGTCTTGCAACAATCATGAAAGTAAATAAAGACATGATTTCATTTGAAACCTATAAATAAATGAGGTCTTACTACTATGAAGCTTTAAATAAAAACATAAAAAATAGGAATTCTAATTATATATCAAATTCATCCAATCCGAATAAAGCTATATGGTAGGTGATCAATAGTGAAACAAACAAACATAAAATATTAAGTTCTCAAGAATCCACTTTAAAAGCTGAAGATTTTAATACTTTTTTTAAAAACATAGAAAAATTTCATGATGTAGAAGCTAAACCTGCAGAAGAGTTTCCAAACAATCATAACAATTTTAGCCACACTTCATGTTTCTTCGAAGAAGTTACTGAAAAAGAAGTGTTTAGTATAATTATGAACCTTAAATCAAAAGAAACCTTAGATATTTATGGACTAAATACAGTAATTTTAAAACAAATAGCTCTTTACATAAGTAAACCACTTGCAATATTATTTAATAAAAGTCTACAAAATGGCACATTTCCCGATGAACTAAAAATTGCAAAAATTGTACCCATTCATAAAAACGGTGATGCAAATAAGCCAGAAAACTATAGGCCTATATCAGTTCTACCATCATTATCAAAGGTTTTTGAAACAATAATCAGACAAAGGATAGTAGAGTTTTTGGAAAAAAAGAAGCTTTTAAACAACCAGCAACATGGATATCGAAAAAATAGATCTACTACAACAGCAATAAATTTCATAATAAAGTATATAGTTACGGCCCATGACAAAAAACAAAAAGTAGAAATGGCATGTTGCGATTTAAGTAAAGCCTTTGACACGGTGGATAGACAACTACTTTTAAGAAAACTAGAACATTATGGATTTAGGGGAATAGTTTATGAGCTATTAAAATCTTACCTAATGGATAGACGTCAAGTTGTTAAATGGAAAAACGAATATTTCACAGAAGTAGTCACGTCATATGGGGTTCCTCAGGGTTCGATTTTGGGTCCAGAAATTTATCTTATATACAAATGATTTGCCTGCAAATATTCCAGAAAGTGAAGTCTGTCTTTATGCAGATGATACATCAATTATTTATAAAGTTCCTAAAGAAATTAATATAGGTGAAAAATCTAAAACTATATTAAAAACAGCAAAAGAATGGATGAACTCCAACAAACTCAAATTAAATGAGAAAAAAACACAAATAATAACTTTTTTTGGAGATAGTAAAACTACAATCAAGTTTTTGGGTGTTCATATATATAGTGAACTTAAATGGAACAAACATATAGAAGTCATTAGCAAAAAACTTACCAGTGCAATCTACTGCATGAGAAGATTAAAACTCTGTGCCAATATGATATCCACAAAAACAGCCTATTACGCCATGTTTCACAACATTGCCAGTTATGGAATTTTATTCTGGGGGATTTCTACCGATTCCTACAAAATATTTATTTTACAGAAAAAAGCGATTAGAATAATCTGTGATTTAAAAACAAATGAGAGTTGTAGAGAACATTTTAAAAATCAAAAAATACTTACAATTCCATCTATATTTATTTTGGCAGCAATAAAGTATGTATATTTAAATTCAGACGAATTTGATAGAAATTCTGAAAATCACACCTACAATACTAGGCACATGGACTTTTTCCAAATTCCACTTCACAAAAGAAAATTGGCACAACAAAGTATTCACTATTGGGGACCGAAACTGTTTAATCATCTTCCAGAATCAATAAAAAAATAAAGGATCCCAAAGCTTTTTCAAAATCTGTGAAAAGTATTTTAATCCAAAATTGTTATTATTCTTTAAATGAATACTTAAATACTAATTTTAACTTTCAATGTTTATAAATATGTTTTGTTGTTTATATTATATGTACATACCGTTTTTTTAATATGTTTTTTATACCTATAGCTATGTTCATTTTATTTTTTTAATTTTATATACATATGTACCTGACGTTTAATGTAATGTTTATTACTTAATAAATGTATCTATCTATCTATCTATCTAAATAAGCTTGATGCCAACTAAGAATTACTTATTTATAGTTGTTAATTATCAGGATATTGAGATTTGCATTCAAACCACTGATAAACATTATAATTGATGAGATAATTCGAAACTGCAAAACATATTTGAAATTTCTCTGGCGGAAACTTAATTAGGTTTATTGTATCCTGTTGTTTTCGTGCTTTGTAAACTGTTATTTTTTTTAAATTATCATGTTCCTTCATTAAAGTTCTTTGACACCACTAAAAAATATTGATAAAAGTTAAGCTTTTTATTTTGTTGTGTTGTGCATTTATTTTTAAAAACAAAGGCTGGGAATAATAAATAAATAAAGTTTAGTTATTAAGTAAACATTAACATCAATACAAATTTGCAATTAAAAAATAAGTGCAGTTTTTTTTTAAACCTCAAACTCAATTCTTTTACTTTTAACGTTATACAAATAAATGTGTCTCCACGTAACAAACTTAAAGTTTATTCATGCAGGGTTGAAAACATGTTACTTTAAATGATTTTCTCTTTAAAATGGAAATTCATCTTCTTTAAAATTAAATTTAACAAAGCTTTAAAATTGGTAGTTTATGGTGAGCTAGTTTTAATGTCATAGGTTTATTTTATCTGCTTGCATATATTAACGCCGGGAATCCATTAATTGGGCGATAAGCAATATTTATACACCATATAAATTCCTTGAAAAATCATTGTTTTAAATTTTGTACTCTGTTAACGACTTTATTATAAAATATTACCAATAAATAAAATTATCTTTTCATGTTACCAATTGTAAAATCCTTACCTTAAATATTGGTATTAATAAAATTTGACAGAATTGGACGTCTTTCTAGAGCAGTTTGAAAATAAATTTGATTGTGTTATATTAACAGAAACTAGAATAACTAATATAGATTAGGTCCAACGGGGATATACAGTATTATATAGTGGAGGCACATTTAATCAGAACTATTAGATGGTGTTATTATTGGTGTTATTATGGTGTTATTACTATGTTTTTGAAAGATTCTTTTGCCATAAGATTGAATATAATAACCAGTGAAAAGTACTGAATGTTTAAGAAAACTACCACACTCAGGGCCGGTTTATCAATGTCCAACTAAAAGTGGCGGATAAGTATTTTTTCTTCACCTCGTACGGTTCCAGTTTCGTATCTGCCAGTTTAGCATTTTGGCAATTGGGTAACATTGTCAAGATACATTTTAATTGGTTAAATTTAAGTTCATGGCATGTGCATAAAAACATAACCTCAAACGACTCTTATTTTGTGTATATTGTTATGCTTCTTTATTATGTTATAGGTTTAGATATTGGTATGTTTTTAAATAAAAATACGTACATATAAATTTTTATAAAATGTATTATTTTTTGTTACACACAAAAATCGCATTTTTAAAATAACTTTAACAAAAAAAATCTATCGGTTCAAATTCTGTGGCATAAGGGGATAAGAAAAAAAAAGCAATTTTTCGGTAGAGACTTAAAGGTGTTCGCATTAATTCAGGAAATGTATTTAATAAATATTATTTATGATTAGCGAGTATACCCGTTTGTTAGCATATGACAAAAGGGTATACCCGCTAACCATAAATGTATTTCCCAAATTAATGCGAACACGTTTAAGGCACTACTAAAAAATTGATTTTTTTACTTATCCCCTTATGCCTTTTACCCACAGAATTGTTCTCTTGAACGTGGATAAATATGTAGAACTTGTAGGTAAATATCCGTAAAAGTTTCTATTTCCTCCTCTGTATATTTGTTTCTGCAGCGGATATCTAAAAAAATCGTCTTAATTTTGAAAATGTTCTTTCCGTTCTAAAACTGTATAAGTCTTCTCTCATGTTGCACAAATTCAACAATTTGTTCATCGTCGTGACTTTCAAAAAAATCTCAACACTACACAGATACCTATAACCCAAAATCGCGATAACTGCTAGTTAATTCACTATCTGACACTTGCAGCTTCCAGTTAAATTAAATTTTACTTGTAGTTATCTTAATTTAATTTGTTGCATAAAGTTGCATATTGATAAACAGTTTAGCTACCACTTTAATTTTATTTACCAGTTAATTAACTTAAAACACTTAACTGGACATTGATAAACCGGCCCTCACACGTTTAACATTATAGGAATTTACGGATTACACGATATAAATTTAGCAGACTTCCTAGTAGATCTAGATTTAATGGTATAACTCGTGAAAGCAATAATACAACTATTAAATGTTATTACAGTCATAATTACATCACAGATTACTACCCTATAGCAGACCAATTTGTATTAAGTAAAGAAATAAAACAAGAAAATAGCAAATATAATGAACAAATAAATTTTAAAAGTTTAAATTAGTCTTTAAATAATAAACTGGGACTTTAGTGGAGATGTTTAATCGGATACAAAAAACTAATTATTACATTAAAAAATAAAATTAATGAAAATATTATCTTTAAAAATATAAATAATAATAAAATTAATCGTAGCACAGACAATAAAAAATTGTGGGAAACTATAAAAAATTTAAAAATAATCAAGCACTCAACAACGAAATTAAATCAATAAACAATAATAATTCTTTGGAAAGTAACACTTCAAAAATTGCAAATATATTTAACAACCATACATATGGGAGATACATGGCAGATAAAATAAAGAATGTAAAGGAGTTTAAACAAAACCATTTAACGCGTAACAATACCATGTAAAACGGTTGGTATTTAAAATCAAATTCATTTAGA